AAAAAAAAAAAAAAAAAAAAAAAAAAAAAAAAAAAAAAAAAAAAAAAAAAAAAAAAAACGGGTAAATAATATTACGCTCGAAGCGCGAGTAATTTGGTCCCCAATGTTACCCGTGCGCTCAACTTTAAAGAATCAAATATCTCTTTTCCTATAACCATGCAAATTGATATTTTACTAATTACAAATGTTAAAACATTTTTTTTTTGCTTCTAAGTACAGTAACATTAACTCTTTGTTTTTTTACTTTTTGTATTCGCGATCAGAAATTTCTCAGAAATGACAGTACTAAAAATACCACAAGATCTTTTATTACTTCAATCACGATACAAATTTATTTTGCGTTTATTAAGCTGTTCAAGAACATTCGTATAGCTTTCAGTACGAGTTTTCCTCGTGTCTGTAAGTATAACTAAATTCGTGATGGTAATTTGGCATAAATGTATCCTAGCTCTTTTGGCTTGTGCGCTGACGTGCATTCGTGATGACCCGAGCGTTGAAGCAAAGTCGTGCATGAGCATTTATTAAAATGCATAGTTATAGGTATACAACGAAAAAAAAAAAAAAAAAACATTGCGCGTGTCAGAGATAAAAGGCGCCTTTATTGTCGTACGAGTTTGTGTATAATAATCGTTTTTTTTTTCTGCATGACTCAAACGACTCTGTATGAATGTACATTTCAATGTGAGTATAAGATGCAATCGCTAGAAAATTATCGAATTAAAAAAGGAAAGTCACCATGACCGACACTTGCAAATGTGTGTTTGCTTTTTTTTTTTACAAGTAAACAAAAAACAACGTTAGCGAAGATTGAGATTTATAGAAGCCTTTGCAGTACATTGTCACTTTGGTGAGGTAAGCCATTATTTTAACGACAAAGAAACTTAATCAAATATTCGTTTTATATTTAAAACGGGACAATTTGACGTATGTGCCCATTTTATCTATACTTTTACCGTAACCGACAAAAATAATAAAAGTTTTTGTTCAGTGTATCGTACCAGATGCCATTAATCCTTAATATCGGGCGCGTGTCGCGTGCGCAATAATAATCCATGCAGCAAATGTCCCGTCAACTAAAAATAAACTTTTAACAACCATCTAATTTTGTGGCGGACGATTAAATGGCTAACGTTACGTAAAGTTGAGGGATTTTCGTGTTTATAGTGCCTAGTGATTATTTTCTTGATGCTACACGAGAATTTTTCCTCTATGCCTCTTTCACGAGGGAAAGTCACTTTGAAATATTTTTTTTTTCAAACACATGAATTCAATAAGTTTTTACGTAAACATGATACAAACTTTACAAAAATCATTTTTTTTTTTTTTAATGTGCGAATACACAATGAAAAATGTCACAGTACTTTCATCAACACATAATATAAATAAATAAATGTTTAAGTGACCCAAGGGGTAGAAAAAAATATAGATTATGTATCCAAAAACAAAATTTTGTTCGAGATACCAACAATGTAAGTGTAAAAATTTATAAACATCATCTTCGCCTGTAACACGTATGAGGAACATTTCCTTCAGAAAATCTCAACATGGAAAAAGTAATACAAAATTTTTTTTCCGAAATTCTGAACATAAATCGGTAATTGGAAGAAAGAGTGAGATTATAGCGGTATTTTCATACTGATGTCACAGACCGATATCAGAAGTGCTGTGGCCTGAAGGTGAGTATACAACATGCCAACTTTTCCAGGCAGGCTGTTGGGGAATTCCCCAGATTCTACTCCTATATTGCTCTTGTTTGGTATTATCACGGAAATTTCAGAGGCGCCTATCGAGTTTATAAAGAATTGATAAAATCGATCTGTTATTTCACACTTTAATACTCAGTTACCTGGGTTTTTTTAATGACAGGTAAATGGTAGGACAAGATAGAAGGCAAAACTTCAATTGAGGTGCTTTTATATTATTCCACACTGTGTTTTCTTCAAAAATAATCGTTTCAGTAACACTACTCTACATGTGTTAAAAATTCCAACAAATGGTTCTATTCATACAAAAAAATCGAGCTTAATCATTACTGTAAGATACACAATTTTTAAATCATATATAATAATTACGACTGGCACAATTTTCATCGAATCAAAAAGTGTTATTCCAACAGACTGGTCGTTGGAATGGTAAACAACTCAAGGGATCAAAGGTTTGATTTTTGCTAAAGTACCGTGTCAACATTGGCTCTTGCAAAATTATTTATTTTCCTTAAATTTCTCCTTGAGATTTTATCGGGAAACTCTTTGGGGTTTTTCTTTACCCTCAGAATAAAGACCAGAGTGGAATTGCAAGAGTATTAGGCATTCAAAAGAAAAAAATTTTTTTGCTCTGGTGAGAATTTTAAGCACTATTGAGAAGTGATGTCTTTTACAGTATTTTTTTTTACTTTAAATGAAATTAAAATGAATAGAATATAACAAAATATAAATACATGTTACACAGGGTAAATAATGAAAGCTAGATTTAACGATACAGATTGGTGTAAGTACCCCATAATCAAAAAACTGTTTGTACGAAAAAAAAAAAAAAAAAAACACATACACATATATGTGTAAGGTATAAACTTTCAGCGAACTCATTGGTTTCCTTATACAAAAGCACGGGGCGTCGCGTTTCTCGGGAAAGAACCTGCGCATTGTAATATTTTTAGCATATCACTAAGGTATTTTACACACGTATGCAATAATGTGCCGAACAAGAGCTTTTTTTTCACCCGATCCTCAACCCACTCCAACTTTTAAATATTGACGAGTCGACATGGACGGATGTATCCTGGTAAAAAAAAAAAAAAANTCATATATACATATACGTATATAATTATAATTATATACATATTACTTATAACAAATCGATGATTATATTAAAATTGAAAATGAGAAATATTAATTAGAATTTAAGTGAGATTTTTACATGAGTCAATGATTCATGCTTGCAACTTTGAATTTTTTTGGATGCCGAACTGGTCTGTGAGACTCACTGTCCGTTGATTCTGTGTCAGAGTCATTGGAATAGTTGATATCGCCATCAGGTTTGCAAGCATTGAGTGCCTCTAAACCAATTTGACCACTAACTTTAGCTCTTTCTAAAGCAAGTACTGAAAAATACAATTACATTTGGAATATCCAATTAAATATTCTACAAACGTATGTTTTAATAATCATATAAAAGATAATTTTTGTCCCAATATACAACCAAAGTAATGAAATGATTGCAGCATTAATAGCAAAACATTTGAATAGGATAAATGTTTAAATTGTCAACACCAGTTAATTCCTCCTTAAATTAATAAACAACAGTTTAGGAGAAATATTAGGTATGGTTACAACAATGACATTCATCCTCCCTTAGGAAAGCAAAAAAACATAAAAATTACTTACTCTGTTGCTCCAGTCTAGCATTTTGTTTCTTCATGTTTTCAATATCAGACTGGTGAGAGTTATTTCTGCGCTTCATGGTCTGAATGTACTCAGCTGCCTTTTTGAGTATCTGAGCCCTGCTCACAGCCTTCTCATTGCTCAGCAAGGGTACAGCATCTCTCAAACTGGAAAAACTATCTTTGATGTGGTCTCTCCGTCTTCTCTCGAGTGCATTGTGATGAGCTCTCTTTTCAGCCTAAAAATGAGACAAAGAACAACTTGCAAGTAACATGATCAGTGGATTGTTTTTGTTGTCACTGTCAAGCGTTACAACATGGTCCATGGATAAAGTAACAAAAGATGTCTACTAAATGGATTTATCAGGATCACGTACCTGTGAAGAGAACTGTTGATTATTCGAGAGCCTATTCCTAGGATCGTCATCTCCATCCTAGAACATAAACACAGGATTAGAAATCTCGAGCGCAGTGCGTATGCATGTACTTGAGCCAATCCCCAAGAAAGATAAAAAATCCCCTCAGGAGCTTACATCGCTTTCTATGTCGATGTCCCTGTCATCGTCACTCATTTCGGATGATGGGGACGATAGTGTAGGCGCAATGATGAAGTTTTGAGTTTCACGTTTAAGTAGAACAAAAAAAGTTTTAGATTATTTATTACGGACTTAACCTTAACAACGCGCTTTTTAATGCCACTTCTCTTTTCTACAATAGGTACACACACTTCCCCTTCTTCTCTCTTGGTCCTGTCCTGTCACGTCAATCTATCTTTATGCACACATGTATACCTATATAAAGTGCATTGTTGCGCACAATATGCGCACCAGAGAGCACCTCAAATCCTCAACAGAAAATCTACGATCTGTATACATAAGACTGTGATAAGACTGAGAGACCATTGATATATTAATTACCTAGGTCAATGCAAAGTAGAGGATTTTAACAGCTTTAGAGATCGTAAAAAATTCAACGATTTCAATAAAAAAACTGTAAGTAATTGTCATGGTACTGTCATTTTCTCTAATTTTTTCGGGAGAGTAAAGGCAACTTGTAAGTATATCTCTGTAATTAACACACGTTATTTTATTGACAGAAATGATACATATCTATTGTTTATGTATCATCTATCACACTTATTAAGAAGTTTGATAATTATACTTTTTTTATTTTTCATTTATGCATGTACTGTGTACCGATAAAGTATGAAACTATTTTACCTTGCCGTGCTGTACTGCTGAGTGCTGCCCACTTGCGTTATAGTTGCGTACCACAGTCTATATACTAAATCTCTCTATATAACACGTGTTCATCCATAACCTATAACTACTGTTTACTTCTGCCGGTCCACGTTTCTGCTTTGCTCGTTCAAGTCAACGTTGTGATAAAAAAATGTTGGCTGCTGGAATAAAAAAACGGAAAGTCTCGAAAAAGACAAAAAAAGCGTGGAGAAAACACGTAGACGTCAAAGATGTCGATGCCTTCCTCGAAGACCAGCGGTTAGAAGAAAGATTGGGTGAGCCATTGTCTCTCAAGAAGGACGACGATTTGTTTTCTTACGACAGAGAAGGCGACAATAAACTCGAAGATTACAATTACACGACTAAACAGCAGCGAAGAGAATTGCTGAGAAATGCAGAACCGAAATGTTTTGCTATTCTGAAGCCCCACACTGCTGTTCCGGATCCCATTGCCAAAAGAAATCGAGTCAGAACTCCGGAGGAAAGGAAGAACCTCTTAGTGAAACAAAAAGAAACATTAAGAAAAATCAGTGGAACACTGAAGTTGAAAGAAAAAGAGGCAATAATAAACAGACAGTTGGCTCAAAAGAAAAGAGCTCAGAGGCCCAAAAGAGGAGAATTTAACACTGATGCTTGGGAGAGAGAGCCTGTTATTGAACCAGAGTTGAAAAGCGAGTGGCTCGATAAGGATACAGTGAGGCACACGTTTGCAAATACGAGAAAATTGCTGAAACAAGTTCCCAAGTCTGTGCAACAAAAGCCTTCAATAATACCAGCTATAAACGCACCTCATCCTGGTATCTCATACAATCCATCATATGCTGATCATCAAAAGTTACTCAGAACAGTAGCAGCAGATGAAATTAAATTAATGAAGGAAGAGAAACACTTGGAGAGGGTAACAACACAAATGTTTAGAAAGGTGAGTAGTATTTTCCTTCAAAGTGTACTTAACTTGGAATACATGCTAAATTATTTTATAAATGTATCTTAGGTGACACAAAGAGAAAAAGAACAAGACATCTTGGAGGAAATGTCTCAAGGACTGCCATTTCACAAAGAAGAAAACGTCAGTTCAGATAGCGAAGATGATGATCCTACTGTTAGATCTATCAATCCTCCAGTGCAAAACAAAAAAAAAACTTTGGTCGAACGCCGTAAAATAAAAGAACGGCAGAGGCTTGAAGAAGAGCGTCATAAGCAGAAGATTGAAAAGAAAAAAATTGCTGACATCTATCATCTTAATCAGATCAAGAAAAAATTGACCAAAAAGCAAAAGAGGCTAGAGGCTCTAAAGGAAAAAAGATTAAAAACTAAAGCAAGAAAAGTGTTTGAACCAAAAAAGTTGAGCAGACACAAGTTTGAGCCTCTAGAACAAGAATTCGTCATAGGAGCTGAGTTAACAGGAAATTTAAGAAGTGCTCAGCCTGTTGGTAATTTGTTGAAAGATCGTTACAAGTCTCTCCAACAGAGAAACATTGTGCCACCTGGTACTGTAGCGCTGTGAGTATTTATTTTTTGTTATATATATGTTATAATTTTATCGACATGTTTCTTACAAAGGCATTGTACTTTTAATTACAGAAAAAGGAGCAAAGCTAAAGTTAAGAAGTTTGTAAAAGCAGATCACAAAATTGATTTGACAAAATTAAGCAAGTGATTTTGTACATAAAAGAAATTCGAACATAAGGGATTTTAGTTGTGTTATGTTTATATATTTCATTAAAGGTGAATTATTTATATACATGACTGTATTTATTCTCTTTCATGATTCAAAAAATCTTCGTACACATCATGGAACCCATAATTAAAATAAGTTTCTTCGGATTCTTCATCTTCCATTATTATTCCTGTTTCACTGAAGGTAATTGACTTTTTCTTAATGATTTCCTTGTTACTACCTACTGACTCATCTGTACTAGTATTTGAACTAGCTGAACTGTCATGTTGATCCTTAAATTATAATAAAATTTATTAAATGCATGTCAGATCTAAGTTTTATGTGGATGAAAAATTACGTTGCATATAAATGACGTACTTTTACAATTATTGATGTTCTGTGAGCCATAGCGTCAAAATTGTCTGCTTCCTGATCTAAGTCTTTTATTTCAACATACTTATTTTCCTCGTCGCTTTCAGCGTGCATACTCTGTATACTTGTTGAATCTGATTCCAGCCTAAAAATGTGTTTTACAAAAAGTTGCTTAAACAATTCATCAATTAATATATCACACAATAGTTTGTCTAGATATAATTTGGAAAGATTACAGGTCCAGAGCCGAAATTGCATGTGTTTAAGTAGAAATCAAAAGTATTAGGGAATTTATCAACCAACTATTATTGTAAAATTTTTACTTACAAGTCTAAGCTGAAAGTTGACTTTTGAGAGTCATAATCATCGATCACATCTAATAAATAGTAGGCCAAAGTTCGTAAGTCCCAATTTTTAAAGTTCAGAGAAATACTTGTTCGAATCTGCAAGTAAGAAATAGATTACATTTACATTTACATTTGCCGCGTTAAATGTTTCCACAGTCAAATGTTTTATGAACTCACGTTTAAAGCAGAACTCACGACGCGTTTCAGCAAATTCAGAACATCACAGCATTTCGTCAGTGCAGATGAGGTTTTCGTTTTCAACTCGTTTGTCAATGTGCATTTAATACTCTCTCGATGAGCAATTACTTCTAGTACACGTCTATAGTAATCTTTCCTCGAAAATTCCAGATTCATGGTTTCCAATAGTTTCAAGCTCTTTTGTTCAAAGCCTTCGGGCTGTTGGAAGGGCTCTAACGTTTCCATCCTGATCACTGTCCTTTTTAATTTTTTCAAAGCTACATTTTGTATTTTTATCGACTGAATATAATTCTGTTTATTCTTCTGTGCTTCTTTAATTTTTCCCACCCAACTGTCCATTTGAGTCCTACAATTAAATTTACTTTCGTTAGTATACGAAATGCATAACATTTGGCCTTTTTAACTACTCGCGCGCACCCTTGCTCTGAGCTGTCTTGTTTCATTCTACTAAAATCATCGAAAAATTGATCCAGCTGATTGTCAAGAATGACGTTTTCACGCATAAGCCGCTGTGTAGTTTGAGGTGCAGTGTTTTTCAACTCGAGTTGGAAGTTTTGAGACACATCGAGTATTCCTTTGTATGCTTCTTTCCTCAAGCTATTATAGTTTTTTTTTTTTTTTTCAATACAACAGTTTTAATAAAAATGAAGATGGGAAGGTCAAAGCTTTAATTGCTTTCATTTCCCTTAATGGGTCATTTATGTAGAGTTAAAAATGAAATGAACCATGAATGCTCACTTCTCCTGGTGTTCTATCGACTTGAGTTGAATTTGTTTCAGCTTTTGTTGCATCTCTTCTTCTTTTCGTAAGATCGATTCGTTTTGGCGATCGTACCTTGCCTTTAAATTGTCTGCCTTTGACTTGAAATCTTCTATGGCGTTCACTCTGGCATCTTGAACACACAAGTAAAAAACACTTGGCTCAAAGATAGTAACGATAAGAGTAACGCTATTGTTCATAATTACTTAGAGCTTTGATTTCGGCATAAAATCGAGTTCGAGTCTTCTCATATTTTTCCTCCGACAGTTTTACCGCCAGCAAGTGTTTCGACCTCAGTTCTTCGCTCGAGTTTTCAATTTCTTCGCACTTTTTTTTGTTATCATTGATTCTCTTCACCTCCGATGCAATGTTATTGTTCAGTTCAACAATTGCACTCTCCACTTCACCAGCAAAATCTCCCAAATAACCTTTTGCAAGTTCACAGAGTTTTTCCAATTCTTCGTTTTTCGCTTGCGCACTGATGAATTTTCATCGAATGAAAAAACGTTTAATTTTCTATTTTTTTATGAATTTGTGTTTCACGTGTGAAATTTGCTTATCAATTTTCTGAAATTTGAATCAAGTTCCTGCAGAGCTAAATTTGATACAACCTGGGTGCACAAAAACTTGGTAAAAACAAAAAATGTAACCCTCAGAAATCTCAGAGTTAAAAAAAATAAAAAAATAAACAAAACGACATTCAAAGAAACTACTATATCGTTGAGCATACAAAAAAGTATAACGAATTACCGTATGATCTTATTTCGAAGATCATCGATAAAAATGTCGTATGTGGCCATTTGGGTATTGATGATGGTCGGTTGATCGGCGGCATCTTCCGATGTCCAGTCCTCACCGATTTCCGGTGGCTGCAGTCGTGAAGGTAGAGAAACATTTTTTCCAACAACTCCATTGGGGTCGACCATTTTAAGTACACTTTTTTTCTTTCGCTTTCAATTACCGTATGATTTGTAAATTTTAATAAATAAAACAACCAAAATGAAAGTAGATACATACATATATTATGAAAAAAACTTTCATTTGTTTGAAAATTGATTTTATTTTGTCAATCTCAAACTCGATCGTTCAGCTTTACTTTTGTTTTTGAACGAGTGGACATTATTGTTATGTATATACGTTTATTACATAAATGGACGAGTAGTAAAAAAAAAAAAAAATTACAATAGAAATATTAAAAAGTGTCGTGTGCTGTTGTTCGGTTTTCATGCATACCGATACGCAATTAATACATCCGAAAGAAAAAGAAAATCGATTAGTCAATTCACGCCGACTAGTAATCACTAATGACCCGCGAGTCGGTCGAAGACGAGCAACTCGCGTTACACTCTGTGGATGAATCCTCGAAGCTCGTTGTAGTAGTCGTCCTCTGCTGCTGCGAGCTCTGGAGGTCCTCGCTAGCGACTTTCGACGTTGTCTGGTGCTGATGGGCACTGCTGGAGTCTGCAGGTATGATCCCCAGACTGCCGAGGACGTAGAGATGACCTTCTTCGGGCATTGACTCGCTCTGTAGCGGAAGGGGACGTTTTGAATAAATAGTGTTGCCATTTTTGGTAACAAAAATACCAGTTGCAGTTTTCATTGGTCGTTTCATTCACATGTAAAACCAGTAAATGGCCATTTTTGTAAACCGATAACGCTTATTGTGGCTAAAGATTAATCTTTTGTTCATTTTAGCGTACGATTATTTAACTACCACAAGCTGCACATTGCCATCTCTGATTTTATTTGTGTGTTCACCTGTTACTTTTCAATGATAACTGTAAAATAAAAAGTATGTATGAACCTCCGCAGAATCTTCATCTTGGCCATCGTCGAGGGGAGCCCCGCATTTCTCCAAAACCTCACGCAGGGACCAGAGCAGCTTTTCTCTCGCGTCCAGGAGGCAAGAGGAGCAGGCATCACCTGTCTCGCCATCATCCACGATGATACCCTCGCCCTCGCCGTACTCGATTTCCGCCTGAAGCTATAACACAAAATGTCCTATGTAGCCCACACAGAACCTCTCTCGCCTCAATGGGCCGAATGAAAAAAAAGCTTCCACCGCACCTCAAGAGCCTCGACGACGATCCTCCTGGCCTCGGCGAGCACAGCCTCGAGCCTCCCCAACTCGTGTGAACTGTTGCGTGCCTCCTCGCGCGCCTCAGCCGCGCGTTCTCGGCTCAACCGGACCTCCTCCTGGAGCTGGCACACCTGTCGCTCGACCTCCGTGTCCGCCTCGGTCGCCAGGATCTCGGCCTGTTCGCCGTAACGGGCGTGCGCCGTTACCCTGGCAAGCCGGTTGACTTCATGGCTCGCGCGCTCGTCTTCCTTCAACAGCTCGATCATCACACGCCTCTGGCGAGCTACCTGTTGTGTGAAAATGACATGTTTTTTTTGTTTTTTTCATACGCCTCTCAGAGATATATTCCAATGGTCAGGTCACTGTTTATCAGTTACTGGAGAATAAAAAAATCCCACAGCCTTAACATTGTACGACGTGTCTGTGAATCATAACTCAGGAAGCGAATCGTCAGTTAATCCGTTTGAATGCGCTTATATTCATGTAAACCAATCCGTTATAATATGCAAGGTGTGATTTTTTTTTTTTCGCTCCTCATCGACGTATCGTTTGTAAGTGAAAATCTTCGACAGTAAGTAAAATCATTGCAATGAAAAAAGACTATAGACATCATCTTCCCGCATCACAGGTATACACCCGGAAAGAGTACATGACCTTTTCAAGCGCCAGTCCGGCTTCAGCCTCGTGGAGCTCGGCCCTGAGCCTGGCGTCGCGCTCGCGCTCCTGGAAGTCGCGCGCCCTGGTGTCTAGCTCGGCGCACTGGCCCAGCAACTCGTCCAACTCGCGGCGCAGCGCCAAATTCTCGCGAAGCGCGCGCTGCGTCGCGTCGGCCAGCCGCAAGCTCGTCGCCCGTCGAAAGCTCTCCGCGAGCTCGGTCAGCCGCTTCTCCAGCTCGCTCTGCATCCTGGACTCAATTTTTTTTTTTTTTTTTTTTTTTTTTTTGCTCTCTTATCGCCAGGTAAATACATATCTAGTGGAACGAGAACAATCATTAACTTTGCCTTGCCGATGATCACTTTTTTTTCCGTCTCGTAGAGCGTCTCCCTGTGCCGGACTTCCTGCTCGGCCATCTGTTTCTCCTGTTGGTCGAACTTTTTCATCAAGTCCAGCCGGGCCATTCGCCAATCCTCGAGTGCGCTCAATTTTCCGGCTTCAACATTTTAAGACATCAAGCAAAAACTATGTGTATATTGTACACGTTTATGAGAAGAAAGAAGAAATTAATTTTTTTCAATAAAAAAAACTGGACGAATGAGCAGACCAGCGAGTTTGATCTCGGCGGTGAGATTTTTCTCCATGAGCTTGAACTCCATCTCGAGCGAGTTCTCGCGCTTCTTGTACTCCTGTTCCTTCTCCTTGCGCAGCTTCTCCAGCGCCTTGACCCTCTCCTGGAGCTCCTGGGCCTCTTGGCTCCTCTTCTGCAGCACCTCCTCGAGATACGTCGTCAGATCGGCCTTGCTCTCCTCCAGCTGGCGCAGCTGGTCCTTCAGCCTCTCGGCCTCGGCTTCTAGCTCGGTGTTGCGCCCTCGGAGTCTGAAGAGGACATTTTTCGGTCATATAGATTTTTTTTCTATCTTTCATCCCAAAAACAATACTTTTTTTTTTTTTTTTTTTTTTTTTTTTCCCGATGGCGATAAACAAAAGGTCTCTGTGAAAAGTGTCGAACATATTTTGCAGTTCACGGTGTATCAAAAGTGCAACAATGCTTCGTACAGGTATGTGTGTATGTACCTTGCTATTTGTCGATTGTTGTCAACGATTTGCTGCTCGTAAGTGACAGTTTCCAGTTCGCTCAAGGCAAACTTCTTTCTCGGCTTCTTTTCCTTTTTCGATTTTTTTTTCTTCATTTCGCTCCGATGATCCGTCGACTAAGTACTTTTTTTCTCAATCGAGCAATAAAATTATTTAAATGTCACTTGAAATTTATTCGTACAATTTGGAAGGGTTACAATCGCATCTGTTTAATTATGTAAACACTCGACCAATTGGATTTTGTTGTTTTTCGAACGTTACTTTGTTGAATTCGACGCATCTTGCGTCACCATGGAAATAATCAGACGCATCAGAGCAAGTTTTAGTTTTAAAACACATCGCTTCTTCGTTGTAACAATACGTTGCTAGATTTTCATGATCACTAACAGGAATTCATTTTTCCTGCTATTCGTCCATTTGTCCGAAAAATCGAGTTCTTGTCTCTTTTACGAATAACGAATTTATATAATAGTGTATTTTAAACTCATTTTTTTCCCATTAGTATTTGGTGTAAAAGTTCTTAAAATAAAATATTTCAGGAAAGCAAAAAGTTATTTTATTGGTAACTCAAATAATTTTTAGATAAATTACAGGTAAATAAATGCTGGTAGACACGGTGTCTCTTATATAAATCTGTACAATCGTTTTATTTTCAGTTCTTACGATACATAAATTTAATATGCATTTAGAATCATTGTCATAAATACTCAGTAAAAACGACAACTTTTTTCCATAATCAATAGTCTTGGTTGGTTTACAATGACTTCAAAGCTTCTCATAAACACTTCAAAAACTTCAATAATTAAATTTTTTCAAGATGTCCTCTGTGTATCGCATCTAGTTTGCGATAACATTCAAGGTAATATACAATTGAAACAACACTTTGTGATGAGAATGTTTACGTCACGTTATATTCATTAAGACTTTCATGTTCAGAATGAAAGAAGCTCAAGCACTAAACAAATTTATTCTTTGATTATTTACATTTATTAAGTTTAATGACAAATTTTCAGAGGATATTTTACAGGGAGAGGATAGTATTGAAAGTCTATATTAGCCTGCTAGATACTGATATAAAGAAACATCAGAATTACGGACCATGTACAAATATAATCGATTTCAATTACTCTTAATTCAGATATTAATTAGAAAGATATCAATTAAAAGTAAACTATGAGCAATTTCTTTACTACATGAAGTTATCTTTTATCATATATTTTTGTCACTTTGAAATTTACTCAATGATATTTAATGATACAGTCACTTAAAAAACAGCTTTTACCAAAAAATATGAACCATTAAATAAATTGGAACAAAGTGTTATTCGTTATACGTGACTATTATAGATTTAAAATTGTCTCACACAAAGATGTATATTTTTTATACGTGGCTTAAAAAATTACACAGAAAAAGGCATAATTCATACAAATTGCATCAAAAACGAAACTTGTGTATTCCTTAATTTATAAACGTTTAACTTAAAAATAATGACACAAAGGGTGATTTAATATATTGAAAGAAAAAGAAGTACACACAAGTTAACTAGTGATTTTCCAACGAATCACTACAAAAGAAACACAACAGTGAAGCCTCTGAATCGTCAAACAGCTCTGTTTCACAGTTCCATTCAGTAACAATGCCCGCGCAGTTTTCATCGCAGCAAAAAAAAAAAAATTACCAGTTTAACAAACCGACCCTAAACTTGGTCCCACAATGTTCAATGATAGTTTTTAATCGTTCTCGCGAAGCACTGGCGCGAGACCGACACTCAGTTAACGGGCACGGCCGCTGGCTGCGGTACCCTTTGCTGCAACAGCTGGGGCCTTCTAAACAAAAGAATGTAACCGAGAATACCACTAAGAATGGCGATGAGTATGAGGTCCCAGCTGTTGACGATCAATTCGTCGATCTTTATAAGCTCCTGGAAAAGAGCAATGTCCTGCACGTAATCGACCCCAAAGAGTACGTAGAGCTTGACGAGCGCCAAAGCGACTGGAACTCGTGCGTCCACGTTCGCCTCTGCGGCTTCGTCGTAGCGACGTTTGGCCAAGTGACGATCTTTCTTGAGACCAAGACCCCGCTCGTGCATGTAACCGAGATTAAACATTGCTTGGGCATTGTGTTGTTGATCCGAAGCAGCGTGGTAGTGACTTGCTGCAGCTTCGTAGTCGACTCTGGTCCCACGGCCGTAATAATGGGCATCACCAAGTTTTACCTAGAAAAAAAAGAGCGACATACTATCATATAATTTTTTCGTGAATACATTTACAGGTGACAATGCATAACAAGGCTATTGAAAAAAAAAAAAAAAAAAAATTGATCACCAGTAAGAAAAAGAAGCCTTCAGTGAACACCATGTGATCCTTACCTGAGCAGCCGAGTATCCCTGAGCTGCAGCTCGAGCCCAGAGCGTGAGAGCGCGAACGAGACCCTCCTCTTCGGTAAGTATCATTTGTTCCGCACGATCCAAGATGAACGCAGCATTGCTCTGCGCTACCTCGTAGCCCATCTCAGCGAGTAGATAGTAAGTGACGAGAGCCTCGTCCACTTTGCCTTCTCGGTAATCTGTGTGGGCAGACATTAGCTGTTCGCTCCACTTGCCACGCTCCGCTACATTTTTCATAAGATCGACCGCTGCCGTACAACTCGGCATCACTCCAGTGCCCGTGGCGTGCATTTGTGCGAGATTGTAAAAGGCTAAGACGTGGCCTGACTGACTTGCCAGACTAAAGTACTTGTTGGCTGCTCCAAAATCTCGCTTTACTCCGGTACCACCTAGGAATCAAAAGTTATCAGTTCAAACTTCAGTTATATTCGAAAGTTTTCAATTTCGTATGATAATTATCAAAACACTTACTAAAATACATATTTCCAAGCTGCAGCTGTCCATCCACCCATCCCTGTTCTGCTGCTTTCGTAAAGTACTGATACGCTTTGTTGGGATCTTTTTCGACCCCTCTACCGTGTAAATACATTAAACCAAGTCCACTTAGGCCCATTGGATTGTTTTGCTCAGCAGCTTTTTCAAAGTACTTCAACGCCGTATCATTATCTTGCTTAATGACATCACTACCTTCCAGATATATCTGTAAAAAGATATACGATATTTGTGGTCAAGTAAAAAAAAAAAAAAAAAAACACTTAACAAATTATTATGAAAAATTGTACTCACCCTTCCCAAAAAAGCCTGAGCAGATGCACTACCAGAATTAGCGGCGCTTTGGAAATAATGAACAGCTCGCTCGTGATCGATTGGTACGCCACGTCCACCTTGATAATGAAGTTGCCCGAGACCAACTTGAGCTTGTTGATCGCCTTTTTCAGCTAAAAGCTGATAATACTCTAGTAGATCTTGATCGAAAATCCCAGAGCTGTAATTAGGACTCTCGTGTTCATCAAGGAGTCTTATTCTGTGCACGACAGGGCCACCACTCAACGACACAGCTTCCGCAACTCGGGTAGCGACTTTGCGGTAATAGTCGAGAGCTTTTTCACAGGATGCAGAGATGGTCACCTCCATCCAGTAGCGATAACCCATGACCATTTGGGCCCGAACATCTCCACCAAGAGCTGCCATTTTATAGTGTAGAAGAGCTTTCGGTTGAGAGGCATTGACCCCTCCCAGACCTGTTGCATACAAGAAACCCATTCCCTAGAATAAAAGACATTGCGTTTAAGTAATTTTTTGAATATAGTGCACCTGCACCATTCTTATTTTATTTTCAAAGAAAAAATCTATCTCACCGCATGAGCAGAGGGCAAGCCAGAATCAACAAGTTCCTTAAATGTTTGTACAGCAGCAGGTATATCTTGACTAGATGAACGCGAGGAAGAGGAGCCAATGTGAGTGCCAAGTAGCTGGGCCCATGCCTGCATAGAGCGAGCTTCCTTGTGACCAAGGGTCGCAGCAGCAGCTAGTAATTTATAAGCTTCTGCTTTGTTCGTACGAGTTGTATTCAACAATCCTTGGGCTTTTACAAACAATGCCTCCGCTGTGGTTTGAAAATATAATTTGTTAACTCAAATTCCATCGTTCTTTCGTATCAAACATGAAAGAGATACATTTTATCAAATAATAACAAAGGAAAAACAAGTATCAAACTACTGTAACCTCAAACCAATTCAAGATCTAACTCACAGTAGAGCAACAAGACAATAATAACAGTAGACAAAATAAAATACAGAGAAAAGAAGCATCACCTTCCTGCTCTTCTGGAGTGAGTGGCTCTGGAGGATCTTCGGGAGGCAGGTCCTCTAGCTTCACGTCATTCGCAGCGTCTCCCTCTTCTTCTTCGTCCTGGTTATCGAGAACACTCTGTGGGGAGTCAAAGTTGTCGATAACCTTGACCTGCTCCATGACAGTCTTCACCCAAGAATCAACGGACTCTTTGTCAAGGCTTTCCTCATCCTTGGCCGCATCCTTAGTTCTGAGCTGTTTACCAGTCTTACTATTCTCAAAGGGCTCGCCAGCCAGGATCAAACTGTTCAGGGTGTCTCCGAGCTTGGTAATTTTCTTGAGGCGCTCGTAGATCACCTTTAGGTCATCGCGATCGTTCTCCTCGGGCACCTCCTCCACCGAGCTATCTCCATCCAAGGCTGTCTCCTTCTCCTCTTCCTGCGGTTGGCCGGCCGAGACCACAGTCGCGGACGGCTTCTTCTCGGTCTCGGGCTTCGACTTGTCGATGCCTTTCACCAGCACTGCCTGGCAGACAAGCAGTAACAGCAGCAGCAGCAGCAGGGCAGTGCTTGGGCCGTAGCGTTGCTGCTTCATGCCGACGGCCACGTTGTGTTACGTTATCCCCAGCTTCTTCGGTCTCTTCTCTCTCGTCTCGATAGACAATAGCGTCGATTATTCAGAGGCTGGTAGTCATCACGTACAACTAGCGCGAGGTAGCTGGACCAATGTTAGCCGGCAGCGGCGACGGGAACAACAACAGCTAAAAACAGCAGTATAGCAGTTCTTCTTATCAATCTCACATGATATGACAAAGTGTCAACACAGCATGCACATACGTGGACATTGCTCACGACGACAGCAGACCGCTGCCATCCCTACCCCACGCACCTCGCTTGTGTTTTGTAATTAAAAAAGTTGGATGAGTTGCAATTTAAAGTCGTCAGCACGTACTTAAGACGTAGACTGTAATCATGTAATTTTTAAATTCGTTTTAAACACACGACTGCGTGACACGTCAGTTTATGAAATTGCCCTCATTATTCACATACTTGCAACACATATATAAATTGGCTGACAGTGTTGACTTGACCATGCTACACCTAACCTATATAAAGTGTATATTGTTGTTGTTTACACTCTAGGGGATTTGTGTGTTTTCAAGGGCTGATGCATAAAAAACGCGCGCAAACACAGTTTGAAAATTCATGTCTACATTTTATATACATGATAACAATAAGTGCATCGTTTGATACTCTATACCGTCGCAATTATTGACTTCACTTATGTTGTTATGTCTACATGTTTTTGAATTGCATAAAGCCGCAAATTTAGGCAATTAAACCTTGTGTTTAATTCGTAACTACTTTTTAGTTTAAAATCGGCCTCGCTAGATGGCGCTGATTGTAAACTCAACTAGGCACGTGACAGGTGTCACACTATGTGCTGTAGCTAGTGACTTTCACAGTTCACACTCTGTCCCTATAATGTTACTAGTAATTGTATAGTTATAGTGACGTGTACGTAAACAATTTGCACAAAATATATATTTCCATTCGCCATATGGTAACTACATATAGGTGCCATGTGCATAACGTAGTATATGTGTTTTTAAATGAAATAAACGTGTGAGAGACTGAGACGTGTCCTTAGCGAGTTAAATACTGTGATTGTTTACAACTCATTTTTAATTGCGAAAAGTTTCACGAATAATTAAGCTCGATGTCTGGAATAATTGATTATTTTCGGAATATACCTCTACACATTGTAAGTAAAATCAGTAAAAGATTTGATTTACTTATATTTTTATGGTAAAATATCATAAACCTGTCACATTATAAGACGCATTACAATATTCAGCATTTATTATGAACAATACAAAAAAAGCAATATAAATATGTTGATTTTTACTCTGTTTGATATTTCCTAGGATTATGATGGCCAAGCTAGAGCTGAAAAATTATCCAGAATAATCATTACTTTGTTTGGTGTAAGTTTATTCGACTTATCCATTTCAAGAACTTTCAAGTGTTTTTTTGTTAATTTCGTTGGATTATTATTTTTCTCACTCCTACAGGTTGTTGGTTTCATATGGGGATACCTAATACAACAATTCTCGCAAACAATGTACATTCTTGGAGCTGGTTTTGTCATGGCAGCAATTATTACTTTACCCCCCTGGCCAATGTACAGGCATAAGCCCTTGGATTGGCAAAAACCTCAACAATCTGAAGCTCCTATCAAAACGAAAAAAAAGAAATAATACTGCACACAAGTGATGATTTGAAAACTCTTTGAAATACAAATTAAACATCTTACTCTTTGGAATAATACAATAATTGAATGTAAACACATGTCATGTGTAATAATAAATTTTCTTTGTACCATGTAAATTAGAGATTTTTTATTTCACTACAAAATAGTTTGTACTTTTTCTTACAGTAATATGTAAATATGAATACATGTGTGTACATGTAGGTGTATAAATACATACATAACATGGATTTTTTACCTTGATTTTAATGTACCTTTTAGAGACTAGCATAAAATAAAATTGTCATAAGTGCAAATATAAGACTTATCAAGTATACTCTGTCATTATCTGTGGTATTAAACCTTATATATTATATTGGGTACAAATACGTGCTTTTGTTTCTTAGAACATAGTTTATAAATCTTTAAGTGTTGTAATAATAATAATCATCTAAGTATCAATCAGTAAGAATTAAAAATAGAACTTAAAATTAAACAACATAATATCAATAACAAGAAAATGATAAGTAAGTAATAATAATTAAATAATAATAATAATGGTAATAATAATCATAACAATAATATTAGTAATGACGCTAGTAATAATAATAATAATAACAACCATAGTATTCGTAATAATAATAATCCTTCCAACTAAAAAACGATGAGACCGCGTGAACCAAGTCTCTCATGCCAGTTAGGAAATAACAAAAAAAAAATTTTTTAAATATATTTTGTGTGGTCCCACCATCATTTCTATAGCAAAGTATTCTCAATTATTATTTAGTCTTAATTTCATAGGAGTGACAAAATAAGGAATAAGAAGATCGGTATCTCCTTTCTTCGACACTCGCACGTTTTACCAATGGAGCCTAATTAGAATGTACTTGACTTAATGTATTTCGCATTGTGTTTTTGGAACATGGAGGGGCTCAGAAATTTATTGATGTGTATGTAGTAATAAAAAATTGATGAGTGTTTTTTTTTATTGCTTTTTACTATTTACCAAATGGCTAAGGGTAAATTTTTTATACGACACGAATACGGAAATTTTCAGGAAATTTCTTCATTACGAAAAATGACTAGGACAAATCAATAGACTGTAGTCAATATTTTGGATTACCACGTGTAACCAGTCGACTTTGGAATTTTGAGATACTTAGACCTTAATGCAATACAATAATACTTAATGTTAAGTTATTAAAATAACGTGTGGTTCATCAACTTTTGGTGCAGTAACAGCTTTTTTCTTATTGGTAAGATATTTTTCTTTTATAAATATTAAGTTTCACTAAAAAAGACCGATTTCACGTATGTCCGGAAATATTTTTATTTTTTAATTGGTGATTATTCTTTTCAGCTAACAAGTTCTACTGTCATTATGATTAATAAATTAATGAAAAGGAAGAGATCAAAGAAATTATTATCCATGAAAAGATTATCCTTCGTGAAATTGTTTTATTTTTATAATCGAATGGTTGGATCCATAACTTTTAATTTTAAAGAGATTCCAATGAGAAATAATGCCTTCAAACGATGGTCTTTCAAATATTCTTACTTTGGAATAAGCTTTAATATTTTTTTACTAACTTTCCTTCTTGTAACTCAATATTTTTACCTACGAGATTTTCTCCAAGTATTTGACACAATTAAAAATCCCCTCTCCCACAGTTACGCGTACATTTATAATGTAATAATTTTTTTTTCAGTCAATTTGATTTTAATTCATGCTATTATTAAACAGAAAATGTATATATGCATTTTGAAAAAATTGAACTCTGTAAAGGAGTCAATGGAAAGAATAAATGAAATTGTAAATTATGATAAATCTACATCTCGAAGAATTATCAAATATAGTACTTATGTAATTTTTAAGTATTTTGAATACATAACGGGTATAATTTTTCTTTATTTGTGTTACGATGATTCAAGAAGCCCAATATTGACATTCATAAAAGTAATTCACCTCGTAATAATAGATTCAATAGTTTTTCAATACGTATTTTTTACTGTAATTATTCGAATTTTCTTTGAAAAGATTTGCCATTATTTAAAAAACGCTTATGAAAATTCTATTAATATGGCAAGCATGAACTACAACCTCGTCAGTAAACGCGAAAAATACCAAAGCACATTAAAATTACGGAAAATGTTTGTACCGTTGATTGAAATATGCAAAGATATGTCGGATTTGTATTCTACGTTGATATTTTTGTGCATCGTTGCATACGTTATGTCCATTTTGCGTTGTTATCAAGAAATTTTACATTTAATATTTCATGAAAATCAGAAAACTGCAATGGTGAACTCATTATTATCTGTATTAACGATCATCGATATCTTAATAATGTTGATGTTACTAACTGAGTCTGCCGAATCAGCAATTGAACAGGTAATAACAAATTATATAAATTAAAAATTTTTATTTTCACTATTTTAATTTTATACCGCTTCTATGTGTTCAATACAGACTAAAAAGATAAATTCTACCTTGATTCAATGCACAACGTATAACGACAACCTAAAANATGAATTTACTGTTTCGTGAAAATGTTGATATTTTTATTTCCATTAAATTAGTTACATTTTTTATATTAATTATTGATTTTCTAATAATGATGTTACTACTAACCGAGTCCGCCGAATCAGCAACTTAAAAATTTTTAGATCTTACTATTTTTACATCATTGCAAGTCTGCGAATCTCCAATTTCTAGCCTTAAATGTTTTTCCACTCAAGAGATCGTTACTTGTGTCCGTAAGTATTTTTACAAATGTACTAAAATTGTCACATCCGAAATAAATCATTATAATTTATTATATTAATTAATTATTATGTTTTCTAGATAATAAGTTTAACGACCACATATTCCATTATCATTTTCCAATTCCGTCAATCATACAATAGTAAAATGTAAAAATAATGGTCAGATAATTACTGTCTATAAATAACTTGCAATGAATTAAAAAAATTATATTAATTCTTCACTCACAACTATAATTTTTTTATATTCGTGTCAATGTAAGTGTGTGAGTCAATCTAAATTATTATCTCAAAATTTTAAATAATAAAAATTTTTATTTATACTTTATGTACTTGTTTTATTTTGTTCACTAGTTTTATTTAAAGTGATACATATGACGATTGTTGTTTGAAATTTTTCAAGTTATTAACGTCGTTCGAAAGTAATATCAGTTAAACACAGAGATTTTAAAGACGTAAATGCTTCTGTTAACTTATTTTTAAATTTTTTTAATACCGGGTTACCACGACAGCCTACTTGGCCTAGTCGCGGGGGCCACCCACTCACCACCTATATGTTGGGGTGTATTGCCAAACCCATCTCTAAACCTTTTTCCTCGCATCCAATCTGAATCCATGGGCACACAGTGTGAGTAATCCCGGTGAAACACACCTTGCCAGTTAAGCTGGCACTCTCTGCACCGATGGTGCATCGGGTCCATTCACCACTGTGTAGTCCTTCCCCGGAGAAGACTCCATTATTCCAGGACGTCCACTCCTCGCCGGTAAGGCCGGCGATCCCTACCTATATCCCTAACACTGTTTCGCATTCACCCAGGCCCGAAAACCTGTGGGGCAAGGAAAAAATCCTGGAATTACTCTGAAGGAAAATTCTACGGAAAACCCCGCCCCGAAACAGCCGGGGTTACACAGGAACTTTTCCCGATGAAAACAGTTTTTGAGAAAATCTGCATTTACCGGGAATCGAACCCACGACCCCTAGAACTGCGTTGTATCAGTAACAAGCACGCTTACCACTGAGCCAACGCCGCTCCTTTACTGTTAACTCATTATTCACTGCAAAAACTTGAACCTGGAAAATTATATTTATGTCCTCACGTTCTTGTACGGATCTCAAGAAACTTGACCCGGTTATCACGTATTTATTATCAATGTTTGATGAAAAACACCTTGTCAACAAAAAATTTTTTTATTCCTTTCAGTTGATGAAATACCAGTACTTTTGATACCTTTTTTTACTAGTTATAAATATTTTAAACAGTGTAATTCCAAGGCATGTTTTAACTAATTTAATTTATTAATGCAGTTATGATAATTTTCAATAACATTTGTATATGATCAGAGTAGTTAGATTTATTACCATTACATCATAAATTATAAAGAGATATGTGAGTTTCATTTTGTTCCAAATCATTAAAATTTAATTATAAACATTAATTATCTGTTAAATCAAATATATTATTCAATTCGATCTGATAAGCCAACATCACCTTTTCAACTTTAGGTGATGAAATTGAAAAGTATCACAGAATTTTTTGTTGCAAATCACTAAACATTATTGGACATATTTAAGGCCGAAGCATATCAATTTGGCATTTGCATTGTCACGTTCTCTGCTTTTTAAACTTGATTTTTTGAGGATGGACGGAAAAACAACGTAATTGCATTTGTTTCACAGTGTATTATTAAAGCACTACAAGATACAAAATAAAAAATATACAATTTAGTAACATAAATTAAATAGTAGTCTTTAAATAACACAGTTCAAAGAAAAGTATTACGCTAGTAATTAAAGAGACATAACATCATTGTACTATGTTATTAGTGATAAAAACAATGAAATTTCTTATTCGGTTATGAAAAAGTAGATACGAGTTGGAAGCTTGAAAATAAAGAAATTTTGTCAACTTTTATTTCATTAATCTATTTGAAATGTACTAATAAAAAAAGGACAAACAAAAAAGTAAATCACAAAAGTATTGATATTTCCTTAAATAATTCTCAAACAGAAGAACAATGAGACCACGTAGAAAGAGGCTTACCCACCAGTAAATAAGGGATGAAAATAGAAATTCCTTTACATATTGTCTATATCCTCTTAATCATTTCTTTCTTTCAATAATACGATGCAGCAAAGTATTCCGTAAAATTATTTTTCATACCATTTCACAGATGTGACAATATGAAGGAGTACAAGATCGGTATCTTCTACTCATACCTTTTGATACCCATGCGTTTTACTAATGACACAAAAATATGTACTTCACTTAATTCGTTTCGTACTTTGTTTTTGGAATATGTGAGG